GGCGGGGCGCGTTCGGGAGGCGGGGGCCCGGCAGGGACCGGAGACGCCCGGCCCGCGCCGCCTGGTGTCGTTCCTGTCTTGGCCCCGGCTCCGCGGGAAGGGCCGCCCTGCGCTGGGCCGCCGGTTCGGCAGTATCCCTTGCATAGCCCCTTCATCGCTGTCTTCCTCCCAGGTCATCCCCCAAAGGTCCCGAGGGCAGCACCCCCCCCCCCGCACCGGGCACCGCGGGCAGCCTTCCCTCCCTTCTCCGGCCCCGGCCCCAGGGTCCTGTGTCCTGCTCTGGGGTCTCCGGGGCCTTCCACACTGACTGCCACCGCCCTGACCTTACTTATTCATTCTGCCTAACTCCTGCGAGGAGCACGAGCTCCTTGGTCACTGCGGCTTCCCCAAGGGGCTGCACGTAGCCGGCGCTCAAGGGATACTGCCGAGGGAGTATCAGCATGGTCAGAGGGGAAGGCGCTCGGCTGCACTGGCTGGAGAGGGAGAAGCCGCTGTGTGGCCCCAGCCCGCAAGCTTCCACCCCGCCCCCATTCCTGCCCAAGGAGGTGGGGTTCCAGGGTACCCCCCACCCCACCATCTGCTGGAGTGTGCACCCATTGCCTGTCCCTGAACCCATTTCTCCAGCCCTTACGTCCACTTTACAGAGGGGAAACCGAGTCTACAGATGCAGTAACTTGTCTAAGATCTCCTGGGAAACGAGGAAGCGGGGAAGCACCTGGAGCCCCCTGCCAGTGACAGGAGGCTGAAATTTCCCTGGAGCTGGGGGCCGGCAAGGCCTTACCAGCATCTGTCTTCTTAGGGGCCATGTCGACCCTCCAGCTGGGACCGGTGCCGAAGGCTTCCTGGAGGCGGCAGCGTTCTTTACAGGCCGCACACCTGGGTCCAAGTCCGTGAAGGCCACAGAGATTTTGGGAAGGACCATGTAGAGGAGGGCTCTCAATCAGGTGCAGATGGCACAGGGCAGCCCAAGTCGTCCTTGCCTGGCGGGGGCCCCCCAGAAGCCCGGTATCCCCTGCCGCCTGAGCTCCAGCCCCCCACAAACTGCTGCATGAGTGGCTGCCCCAACTGTGTGTGGGTGGAGTACGCAGACGCACTGCTGCGGCATTACCGAGATGGTGGCCAGGGGGCCCTGGCTGCCCTCGAGGAGCACGTGACTGACGAGAACCTCAAGGCCTTCCTCAGGATGGAGATCCAGCTCCGAGTGAGGAGTGGAGGCTGAGCCGACTTGCCCAACACCCACGCCGGCTCCAGCCTGACAGCTCCTTCTCAGGAAGCAGCACGGAGCTTTACTTGTGGCCCTTCGTGAGGCCGGAGTCAGACAGGAACAGAAGGAATTATTTAATGACTTTATCTGAGAATAAATAAGTCTGTGGTGATTAGACGGAGGCTTCTGTGTTCTTCTCTGTAGGGCTTACGTTCCGTTGTCAAAGAAAGCAGGTGCAGCTTGCTGTTGAACTTTTATTGAGAGCCTGCAGCTTTCACCAACCTGTAAGGGTGAAGTAAGTTCCATTTCTTTGACGATCCACGTGACGACGACCCCAGGAGTCCCCTTCCATGTCCCAGCACCCCAGAAGTCCTGCCCCAAGGTCAGCTCTGGTTATTCTCAGTGGCAGAGGGAGGACTGTCTGGTTCCATGAAGTTGCTGTTGGCAAAGTCCTTGGCAGGCATGGACACCGGTAGGCAGCCTGAGAAGGGCCCCATTATTCCAGTTGCAGGGCTCCTTGGGGAGCTACCCATTCACCAGCCAGGTAGAAAGCTGTAGATCAGCCCGCAGGGGCCTGAGCCTCCAGTCCTTCCAACCCACTTAGACACAATGATCGAGGCAGTTGATCAGGGTGTAAGGACCCAGGGGCCTCCAGCATTAGCCCTAGAATCAGCCTCCCGGCACTAGCCTGGTCCTTGGCTGCAGACCCGGCCGCGGGACCATTCAGCCCGGGAAGAACTTCATCTTAGGGCCCTCACTGCCCGTCCCCATCTCCTGCTCACCCCCATCGTGGAAATTGTCCCATCTTATCTCCCTCCCCCAACACTTCCAAGCGCTGAAACCAGTGGCCTGGATGGGGCAGGGGTTAAAGGAACTTGTGCGTGTTTTCTCTCTCCTCATTTAAAGAAAAAACTAAGATTAGCATAAATTCATGAGGGGTTTGAGCTGATAAACAGGCCTTCCCAGGTAGGGGCCTTTAACAGAAAGCTGGTGTATCACATAGAAATGTGTGGGCAAGAGAATGGAAGCAAAGCACGGTGCCTAGTTAGACACCCATGGTTCAGGCTGTCTTTCTGGACAGCTGCGTGCCCTCCAGAAACAGGGTTTATGGTGACACAAATCTATTAGGCTGTATCTCAGAGAGCATCTCATTTAACGTGTCCTCATACAGATTCAAAAACGTCCCAGAAAGAGAAAGCTTTCCTCCAGGGACAGCAGCACAGCAAAGCTTGGCAGGCTCTGAGGCTCTGTGAAGGGGTGGCTTATCTTAGAGATGTAGAGGTTTTCTGTATTTTTCCCCAAAATTCAGATTTATAAGGGTTTCCTGTATGGACCTGGGTACACGTACATGCGTACATCCGAAGGATCCTACTAAGTCAGCCCTACTGGGGAATGCAAGAGTCATGGTGACATCCTGTCCCCAGGGGCAGCCGCTGGCCTGGCTCCTTGCAGTGAGGCGGACTCCTCCCCCACGTAGCACGCGGCGGTCGAGGATGCCCGTGCAGCCCAGCACCAGGCGCACCGAGACTCGCGCAGGTGCGGGTCTTGTCTGCTCATTCGTTCGTCTCTCAGGCGCCGGGTGACCACCTGTGACGTGTCTGGCACTGGGGTCCGGTAGGAACACCTGCCACACTCACTCTAACGTGGAAGACAGAGGTTACCACGAGTGTTACCCAATGTACAACTGTATCAGCTGCCGTGCGGTCCTATGAGATACGTCTCCTGGTCTAGCCTGAGGGGTCGCCCCTGAGGAAATGGTCCTGGGGCAGAGCTCTGACGTCCCAGGAAGAGGGAGCTGAGGGAACGGGAGCTGAGGGAACGAGGAGAGGTGCACAGTACACCAACAGACGGAGCAGCGGGTGCAAAGGTCCTGGGGTGGAAGGGGCTGGGAGCATGGAGAGTGAGGCGGAGGGATAAAAGGTAAGGTCAAAGAGGTAGATAGTGGCCAGACTACACAGGACTTTGGGGGCCACGAAGGCAGATTCTTTAGAGATCAGAGAACTGAGAATGGGGAGACCCAGGACGGCAGCCAGTGCAGTTTCTTCTTGGCTTCCAAGAGGAGCAGCTTCAGGAGTGAGTCTTGCCCGTCCAGTGGTTTGTGTCGGCACATCCCATCTCCGTCCCGACCCCATCCCCAGGCCCTTGCCTGCCCCTGAGCCCCTTCCCTCATCTCCCTGACCCTCAGTGGTGGTGCCTCCCGCCACCCTCCTGAGTGGCCCTGACAATCTCATTAGTGTCGTGTCAGAGGATGATGCTAATTGGCTTACCCAAGAGCAGGATAAATGCCCAGCCGGCCCCCTGCTGAGGGAGGTCTGGCCACTCACACCCATGGCCCCCTGAGACCTGCCCAGTGCTTGGTGAGTACTGACCTTCCCCAGTCGCCTTTCTTGACAGCCGTTTACCCAAGGGAGCTGAATATCTGCAAGGAGGGTGGGGAGTTGTTGGGCTTTTCACCGCCACACTGACGGCTGGATCTGCAGGAGTCTGTCCACCGTCCTAGTCAGAGCGGCTCTCCAGCCGGTCACTTTCAGCTCCCCCATATTAAAGGGTGTTTGCAGGCAGTCCCCAAGGCCATACACTCTCAGCTAACTTGAGTGGTCATCAGCCAGAGACTGGACTGCGGCTGGGCCAGCTGGGAGAGCTTGGACCGTGGTTTCCACGAGGCCAGCATCTGACAGGGGGAGTTCCGTCTGGGTTAGGGCTGTGTGCACCGGGCCCATGGCCTGGGACTGGGGAAGGGGTCTGGCTGGGCCTACGCCATCTAGGCTGTGAGGGGTGGGCATGATGGGGTCTGAGCTGCCGGGACCACCGGTGCAGGTCACCTTGGACCCCGTGTACATCCTCCTTGGCTGGTGCGGGTTCTGGCACGGAGGATGAATGTTAGGGAGGAAAGGTCCATGGTGGGGTGCACCTGGTACTGGGTGCCCACCCCCACCACCCAGCCTGCCTTGCCCGCCAGCCGGTCTCAGCCCTGATGCTCTAGCCAGCAGCTGGTGGTAGCCCAAGGCTGGAGTCAGGCACTGTAGCCCACAAGACTGGAGCAGCAAAGGGGGCCCATGAGGTGGGGCCTGGGGCATCTAGGGCCAGGGGCTCCTGTCTGTGTCCTGTGCTTAGCCCCAGAACCTTCTAGGCTCACGGCAGCCCTGAGGGATTAGAGTCGCCCTCTGGTGCTAATAGGCTTAGGGGAAGCCGAGTTGCCCTTGAGCAGGGTCAATGGGGCTTAGGGCATCCAGGGAGAGGCAGAGGGGAGGTCACCCTGTGCAGTGGGTTCAGAGACACCAGCAGGTGACACTATGTGCCCAGGGCAGTCTCCAAGCACAGTGAGTGGCCAGGGGATTTACCAGTAGAGGGAAGAAACTGCAGGGGGCTGGTTGCACAGCTCAGCTCGGCACTTCTCCTGAGACAGGCCCCTCCCTGCCAGGCACCCTGCCCTCCACTTCTCTGTCACCCTTCATTGGCACTGCCAGACGCCTGGCATGCCACCAGGAACGAGGCTGAGTGTCCCTACCCCGGTGATTGGGGTGGGGCACGCAGAAGGGGAGACAGCTGAGGGGGGTGCACCAGGGGGGCACTGGTACTCTCATTCCCCCTGCCTGACCCCAGGTGCAGGCCCACGTGGAGATGGCGGGGGGCTGCCATCGGGGTCACGCTCAGGGCCTCCTGGGTTTCCTGTTTCAGGACTTCCTCTCTTCCGCTGGGTTGAGACCTGCAAGGGGGGCGGAAGCAAGGGGCTGACCAGGAGCCCCCCAGCCTGGTGTGCGTCCAGCCCACGCGTGAGGGAGTCTAGAAGCCAGAGGTCGCCGTGGGCTCTCTGCCATCCTGGCCATGAACCTGGAGCCACCCAAGGCCGAGATCCGGTCAGCCACCAGGGTGACGGGGGGGCCCGTCACTCCCAGAAAAGGGCCCCCCAAATTTAAACAGCGGCAAACCAGGCAGTTCAAGAGCAAGCCCCCCAAGAAAGGCGTCCAAGGGTAAGCAGAGCTGGTGGAGGGCCAGCCGCAGGCTACACAAGAAGTGGGGGGGGAGGGCACTGTAGAGCAGGGGGCTCGGCCACCCTTCCCTGGCTGGGGTCATTCCCAAGGGCCCCCATTCCTCAGCATGGGGGGCAGGAGGGCTCGGGGGCTCCTGTCACCCTCTACCTGTTACTGCCAAATGATCTGGAGACCACGCTCACTGCCGCTCAGGGACTCAGCCACAGCCCACCCGCCGGCATATGTCCCTGCACACTCACAGCCAGGGCGCGCTGGCAGACCCAGGGGCTGGCACTCAAGGGCACGTATGCCCCCACGCACCCCCACTCCCCTCTTCCCGGCCACTGGCCCTGACCACTCTGTCCTGCAGGTTTGGGGACGACATCCCTGGAATGGAAGGCCTGGGAACAGGTATGATGGCTGCCAGGGTCTTCCCAGGTCCCCCCCACTCTCCCGCCTGTCCGTGCGCCTGGGGCCCCATCCTTACTCCACTTTCCCCAGCCAAAGCTTATCTACAGCACTGCCTCAAGCCCGTCCTTCCTTCTCTGCCCCAACATCAAGGTTTAGGCCTCACGGAGGTGGGGCTGCTCCCATTCAGTGGGTTCACCGGGTACTTGCGGGGGGCTGGAAAGCAACAAGGACGCCTTGATGTCCCCCTCTCTCCTCCCTGGCGTGCTGCATCCATCCTCTTCCACTCGACACCCTCAAGCTGGCGTGCCCTGGGGGAAGGGCTCCCCACCCAGGACTTCTGCTCTCACCACTTGGGGTGTAGACAACAGGGCATGGAGGGGATGGTGGCCCCTGGGGCCATGAGCCTCCTGGTGCCACTGTTCCTTCTCCTGCAGACATCACAGTCATCTGCCCATGGGAGGCCTTCAACCACCTGGAGCTGCACGAACTGGCCCAGTATGGCATCATCTAGCTCCAGAGCCTGACCCAGAGCCTCAGGGCCGTACCCCCTGCTGCCCGCCGCCGCCCCTGCTCAGGATTCCTGTGAGGAGGCCGGCCCCCCTGAGGGTGTCCAGGTTGCCCAGTTTGTGTCTGGAGACCCTTGCAGGGTGGCAACCTCAGGCCCCCAGATGCCAGTTACCAGAAGCCCACCAGCTCCCTGTAGGACACCCTGGGGCCAGTCAGGCCCTGCTTAGCTTCCAGAAACACTGGCCCACAGACCTTGTCTTAGGGCTGGAAAGCCAGGGCAGGGTCTCCCAGGAATGTCCCTCCCAGCCCACTCCCGTCCTGCTGTGTGGTGGTGAGACCAAGCTCCCCTCACTGGCCCTTCCCAGCTGCTGCCCTTGGGTTGGAGTGGGGGGCTGGGGGAGTCCTGGTGGCATCCAACCAACACCCCTCCAAACCCACCATCGGCAGGAAACGTCCTTTCCAACATGGCCCACGCTTGCTGTCCCTGTTTCAAAATAAACTCCGCACGCCCCCGCGCGCTCAGCTGGAGTGGGTTGTGTTGTGGGTGGGGGCAGGGCCCGACGGCGTGGGTCTCCAGCAGGAGCGTAGGGATGAAGGTTGAAGGTGCAGGCTGGTGGGCGCAGCACGGGCCTGGCCAGGCTGAGAGGGAAGGAAACCCACTAAACGCTGCGTCTGGGCCTGTGGTGGCCGGGGGTCCATGCAGCAAGGCCGGCTAGGCTGGGGGGCAGTGGCGTGCATGCCCGGCCCCCCGAGCAGGCCTCCCCAAGGAGGCGGATGAGGCCCCGCAACAGCTCATGTGAGGAGGAGGGAGCCCTCAACCCTGCCTCACAGGTGAGGAAACAGGTGCAGAGAGATCAGGGAGTTCGCTAAGTGGCCCAGCCAGCCTGTCCTTAGCTGTCCACTACCTCTGGCCAGGCACCCGCCCGGTGACCCAGGGTTCCATGCCTGACGCCACACCTGGGGGGATCGGGCACACAGGCCTGGTGAAACTCCCTAGCGGCAGCCGCCATCCGGGAGCCCGCCAAGTGTGTGTCCACGTGGACCAGGTGCGTCTGCGGGGCCTGTTCACACAGCAGGGACCAGATGGTGCCTCTTGGGAAGGGCCCTCTGGGGTCCCATTCATGTGAAAGCCAGAAAAAGCCACGTAACCGAAGGTGACGAGGGCCAGTCGGGGTGCCCCCAGGGAGGAGGCGAAGCAGCCTGCCGCGGCTGCTCCTGACCTGGCGTGGGTCCGCACGGGTTTACGGAGGGACGAGTTCCTCACGCTGCCCACTTGAGACAGGTGCCATTTACTGTTGAATGATACAGCTCAGTAAAACTTATTCCTGCCTGGGCCTCGCCCTCGGCCACCACAACGGATGGGAAGGGGCCAGGCGGTGGTAAGGGAGTGGGGCCACCGGGGTGGGCCTCAGAGGTGGGGTCAGAATGGGGGTTGGGAGCAGGCATCAGAGGTGGTTGGAGGTGACAGTCAGGGGTGGCAGTTGGAGTTGGGGGCTTGCCGGCAGGATTTCATCCAGTCCTCAGAGCCCTGTACTCTCCCCACCGGCCAGGTAGCTTTGCCTGGCATCCCCCGTGGGAGGCGTGGCTTACACAGGCCCCGCGGTGTTTGCAAGGGCTCCGTGGTCGAGAACAAATGTCTCCAAAAGAGAGTGAAATCAGGTGGTGGTACAGGGACTCATCCTTGCGGGGCCTGACAGAACCGGGAAGGAGGTGGGTATGGCCTGCCCTCAGGGAAACGGGCCCCTGTGGAGTGGGAGGTACAGCAGGTGGAGGAGGCCCGGGTGCCTGAGACCCAGCGTGGTTCCTCCGACACCTTCCCTGGGTGTCCTACGGGGCTGTCAGCCCTGGGCCAGTTTGGCAGGGGACCTTTCCGTCCCCGCGGTTCTGGGGCTCTCCACCCCCCACCCGACGGACAGCCAGGGCCCTCACCAGCTGGGCGGCCAACAGGAGCTCCACCCCCTGCACGACCACAACTGCGATTGTGCAGGCACCCACCGCCCGGACATTCCTGCGCAGCCACCCTCGGAGTGGAGGGCCACAGCCCTGCAGATGCACCCGTCTCTGAGCAGCATCCTCATCCAGGCCCAGAGCTCTGAAGCCACACGGGCGGTTGACAGCCGCGCCATCTTCCCTGGGGTTGATGCAGCAGGAGGCAGGAAGGCGGCAGGCCTGGACCCCAGGGGAGCTGCAGTTAAAGTACCTGTAAGAGTACATCTGGGCATCGGTCCGGAGGGCAGGGCCCGCTGTTCGGGGCCCGGCGCTGAGTCAGGTGTCTCTTACCGGCCCTTCAAACGTCCACGCCCCACAGACACGCATGCACATGCGCACACGCACTTGTGCACACACAATAACAGCTTCCTGTGATTCATCCCGGCACCCGGTAGCCTCTGCACACGCAGGCAGATGTCAAAGCCTCTTGGCAGGAAGGGACATATTTGGTGAGACAGTTGAAGAGGAGACAAGCATGTGATGAGGGGTGGGAATCAGACAGCCTTGCCCGATAGGGGCTGCTGAGTTGGTCTGAGCAGGCAGAACCGGAGGGGAGAAGATGCGCTGAAGCCTGGGAGAGGTCGCCGTGCCCGTCAGCGGGTCGGTGCGGGAGGCTGAGGGGCAGCACTCGGCAGCCACGGGGCTCTCCTCACGGCCCCCAGCTCCAGGCAGCCTCCTCCAAGCGTCCCTGGCCTTTGACTGGGGTCCACGGTCCTGCACCTGCCCTCCCTCCCAGGCATGCTCTCATCCCCCAGAAGAGTGGGCCTCACTAAGGCAAGGACTCAAAAGCCAGTAGGATGGGTGACCACGTGACACCACAGGGGGCTGCCACCAATCCGAAGTCACACACAGCCCATGAAGGAGAACACCCATGTGGATGCTTCTAGAACCCTTGTCACGTTTCAGTGACTGCTGGACACAAGTGGCTGGTTTTCAAGTCTCTGTATGACTCCCTCTCTCGTGGTCAGTTGTCCTCCAGCAAAATGTAAAAGATACACTGCCCAGTGTTCCTAAATAGACAACGCTTACACACACCCACTCATACACACACACAGACACACGCGCACACACAGACAAGCATGCACACGCACATGCATGCACACACAGACACAGACATGCACACGCGCTGGCACAGAGACAGACACACACACCACCATGCACACGCACATGCATGTGCACACAGACACAGACATGCACATGCGCAGACACAGAGAGAGACACACACACACCACCATGCACACGCACATGCAAGCACACACAGACACAGACATGCACACGTGCAGACACAGAGACACACACACACCACCGTGCACACGCACATGCATGCACACACAGACACAGAGACATGCACACGCGCAGACACAGACACACACACCACCACGCACACGCATGCACACACAGACACAGACATGCACACGTGCAGACACAGACACACACACACCACCACGCACACACATGCACACACAGACACAGACACA